GAGCCCTCGCGCGCGCTCGCGCGCGCGATCCTCGATCGATCCTCGCCGATCGATCGATCCTAGATCGATCGATCGATCGGTCCTTTTTCGAGGAGGGATCGATCCTCGATCGTCCTCCTCTTCCCCGTCCTCCTGTCACCCCTCCTCCTCTTCCTCCTCCTCCTCTTCCTCCTCCTGCTCTTCCCCTGTCCCTCCTCCTCCTCCTCCTTTTCCTCCTCCCCTTCCTCCTCTCTCGAACAGGAGCATGCGTGCGCGCCCGCTGCCACTGTGGCTCCAGCGCGCACGCGGCATACCATGTGTAAAGGTTACTGAGAAGGACCTTGCGTTCTGCTATCTGTCATGTTAACACTGCCGTCATGTGTTTCACCACTGCCGCCCGCAATTCCAGTTGGTAGCGGAGCTAGTATTAGCCAGCTTTTTGCACCGACCCACGGAATGTGCAAGATGCGATGTGGACGCACATTCGCAGCTCCTTCCCCCAAGTTCTCAGCGTCGACACCCTTCGGTCCCCGAGCTGCTTGTGCTTATGGCTGCTCTGTACCCTTTCGGGGAATTCGCCCAACGCATCCACAGGCGCTTTGACGCAAACGCTTTTGACCGCAAAAGGCCCCGTGGGTGCATCGCGTCGTGGGAGACAGCTGGCCCAGTGGAGGGGGTGTCCAACCCACGGAGGCATCACGGTGCTTCGGCCCCCTTACCACAACAATTTCCCGGCTCTGACAGCGGAGCGCGGTTTCTTGCGCTGTGCCGCATGACAGGGCCAGTGGTTGGGTTCCGCTCGTGCGCAGTAGTGCTGGCTTTCCTTTTCGGTGAACACGCTACGCGCGCGCCGCGCCACGCATAGCTTCTTTGGGCCCCAGCCAAAGGCCCCAGCAACATTACGGCTATCCTAAGTTTCAGGGCGGCGTCCGTCCCTTCAGGGCCGAGGGGGAGGCGCACCACCGTGGCCGCCCTGCCCGCGTCGCCATGGAGACTCCCGAGGAGGTGCGCAAGCTCGGCCCCATGGGCAGCACTTCATCACCAAGGTGATGCCGCCGATGCACGTTGATGCCTCGACTGTGGACCGCAGCTGGCGAGAAGCACATCCGGCGAGCGCTGTAATCACCACGTCAAGCTGCAGCCAGCACGACGGCTACGCCACGCCCAGTGTCCACCAGGTTCCCTTGCGTCATCCTCAACGTCAACCAGTCCGGCAACTGCAAGCTGTTGTTTTTCCTCGTCCATGCCTTCCTTGAGGCGGCTTTCGGCGGCGACTTCACTACCGTATACGCCGACCCCCCTCCAGGATGAGGCGTTCAAGCATGCCGTTGGCACCTATTGCTGTCGCGCCGCGTACTGCCTGGACGCCCGCCAAAAGACTCTTCCCCAAGAAACGGGGAAGTGGCCCCGCCTAGTTGCTACACTATGGCAGGCTTTTGCCACGACCACGTGTCAGCGCAATCCCAGGCGCGCAGCCCACTCACCCACTTAACAGGGTCACAGGCAAGCGGGGCATCGCTGCGCCATTCGCTCGGCGACAAGACCTGTTGCCCCATGCCCCTGAGCACGCCGCGCGCCCCGGCGCTCGGACGCGCAAGGCGCGGGGTGTGGAGAGTCAGGCATGCCAGCGCATCGATCGCGCCTTCGGCCGCAAGGTTACGGTTGCGTCTTTCGCTGCGCCGCCTGGTCTCAGCAGAGAAACGCGAGACAACTGCCCCACCAGCGGCAGCTTTCCCATTTTTCGTGGCTTCGTTGGTGGGGAGCACGCCTGCGCCTTGTCAGTGCGCGGCGGTGCCGACCTCGCCGCGCGCGCCACCTGCGGGCGCCCGCGCGTTGCTCAGCGCGCCCAGGGCATCGCTTATGCCCGGTAATGCAGCTGCGTATGCACGGTGCGCTACGCCTAGGCACTCACTGTCATGCTTGACGCTGCGGACGCGCGGCGCTGCGCCCCCGCGCGCCTGCGCGTCTTGCAGCGGTCGCCAGGCATCTGCATGCTGAGATGTTCGCCAGAGCGTGCGCAGAGGCAGAGGCCCGCCGCCCCTGCGCGCCGTCGCACGCGCAGGCTGGCGCAGTTTCAAGCGCGCGCCCGCCTGGCCATGCGCGGCTCCAGCCGCCTCTCCGAGCGCTTGCGGGCGCCGATGACGGCGTTCCATCGCCGCGCGCAGAGGCCACAATCTGCTCTGTCACGCGGGGCGCAGCTCACAGAGAGACCATTTGCGGGTCGGGTCAGCCGGCGCGCGTTTTCAGCCCGCGCGCGCACGCGTCGCATTGCAAGCCTTTCAGGGCGCCTCACCCTTATCGATTTACTCAGCCATGTCGCCGCCTCAGCGAACAGGAACAGTCGACGCGCGTGCCAGCCGATGCGGGCAGTGCTGCCTCTCCGCGCGCCGCCGCTCAGCTGCGCGTGCACGAACCAGCGCGATCTGTCCTCAGCATGCAACCTTCTGCGGGCCCACCTGGCTCGTTCAGCGCGTCGTCGCTTGCTGGGCCGCCGACCGGCGGACTGAGCGCCCCCGCTGTGTTCTCGCCGACTGGCTAAACGATGTGACGCGCCCTCGCAGAGGACGCGCCCAATCGGTCTGTGCCGCGCATCTGGCGTCAGATCGCGGGTCGGCGCCCGACGATCCATGGGATCGAGCTCCGCGGGGCTCTCTGTCTTTCTGACGGACCGCCGGCCCCGCGCAGAGCCAAGCGCAACGTGCCAGCCCTGTTGCTGCGCTCGCAACGTTGTGCAATTTAAGGGCGCGTTTGCGATCTGCGCAGGGGCTCGTAACGCGCGCATTCAGTTGCACTGGTCGTGGCGACGAGGTAATTCGCACCTATATCCTCTGTCTGTGCTGGCATGGCGCGCTTGTAGGCTGCCCTGCCGACCTCGCTCTCGAACTGCATGTTCGTCTTCGTCGTATTCTACGTGCTCTTCCCAGTCTTCCTCCTGTTTGCGCTGCGAGCGCGCGGCCTCTCTGCTGCGCCCTGGGCCAGCGGGCGGGCGCGCGGCGCGACCGCGCGCCGCGCCGCGGCGACCCGCAACAGAATCAGCGCGCGCGTTTGCGCGCCGCCCTGTCTGGACGGCGCGCGCGCGCGCGCGCCAGCGCTCCCGCGACCGCGACTTCGCGCGGCGAGGCGCGCGGGCGCTCTTCCAGGGGCCACTTGCCCGCTGCATTTCCTCAGCTACGCCGCGCGCCATTGAGCGCCCGCTGCGGCGCGACAAGCAGGAGGGCGAGGAGGGCGCAGCTAGCCAGAGGGCGAGGAGGACGACGCAAGGCAGAGGGCGAGGATAACAGTCGATGAGGAGATGGAAAGGCGGAGCGCTGCGGAGGAGGCCTGCGCACGATGGAAGGGCAAGGCAGCGCCGCCGCGCGGCTCGCGCAGATCCGCTCAACCCTGCCTCTGCTCAGCCTCCCCCTTCTCGCGCCCCCCGGCCAATCTCTCCGCCCCGGTGCCCCCCCGCGGGCGGCTGCTGGCCAGGCGCCCACTCCGCCGCGACCAACGCCCGCTGGTAGCCGCGAACGAGGAGCTGCAGAACGCCGCTCTTTCGACTTCCTTTTTCAGGAGCAGTGCGCCTACTGTTGCGCGCGACAACTATCATCCGCAGGTGTCAGCGCGACCCCATGTAGGCGCGCGGTGCCTGCTGGAGCGCGCGGCGGCCGAGTGCGCATCCTGGCCGGCGACCGCGCAAGCGCGCGTCTGTCGCCCACGTGCCCAGATGTGCCTCGCTGACAGGATGCTTCAGGCCAGTCTGCTTACCTGTCAAAGCCAGCACCGACGCGTTTTCACGCTCGCGTCTCTTACGACAACGAGCTCGGGATCGGCCGCCAGCAGAACGCAGCCGCAGCGCCGCGCGCCTTGCGCGATCACTTTCACCCCGCTGCGGCCACAGCCTGGACAGGGCTACGTCAGCCCTGCCAGCCCGCAGCCCACGCGCACGCGCGACGTCGAGGAGGACGTCGACGCGGTCGCCATCATTGGCGAGTCGCAGCCAACAGGGCCGCCCAGCAGGAGCGCCTTTGGCGCGTGCGTCGGGCTGGCCATGCCGGCGCGCCGCAACCGCAGTTCCTTGTGGAGGCGCGCGACCGGGGGCGACAGTGCAGTCTCAATGGCGCGTTGCACCGTGCGGTGCGCGACCCATGGTGGCGGCCATCCTTGGCAGCGCCGCTAGCGGCACGCCGCGGGTGGAGCGCGCGCACCATCGTCTTGCGACCCGCTCAGCCACGCGGTTGCAGGAGGGATGGGGAGCGCCTTTATACGCGCGCGCTCCGCAGCGGCCCGCCCTCACCGGGGGCGGCACCGCAAATCCTTTTTTCGCCCCTGCCCCCCCCGTGCAGGCAGGAGACGAGAGGGCCGCGCCGCAGCGAGTTCAGCGCCCAGATGAGGGCGCGCGTTGTCAGCGTGAAGACGAACGTGCTCCCGCGTCTGGCCGGCTCCCGGGATGACGGGGGACGCGTTGGACAATTGCTTTCGTCTGCCCAGCGCGACAGCTTGCTCGCCCGCGCCGGCCAGTGCATCCATCGCAGACCGCAGGGCGAACGATGCAAGGAGCCACGGTGATAGCCGCGCTTCATCCTCCCACGAGCCTTACTCAGCAGTCGAGGAGCGCGCATCTCCTGGCGAAGAACCACCGCAAGTCAGCGGACCGTTCCCATGTCCGTGCGTTGCGGTGGTTGTCGTTCGGCAAGTTGGGCCCCCTTCCCTCGCGCCGGATATTCACCGCGCGCTGGCAATGGTTGATCTGCGTCGCGCTTGAAGGTTCGGTCGCAGAGGTGCGTGTTTTCAGCCGCGCCCTGAAACGCGCCGACCCGAGTCGAGCCTGAGTCAAGTTAGAACACCTTCATCATGTGGACCAACAACAAGATTGGACAATTTGGGTCAGTAGCGGCGCCTCGCAACTGGGAGCGTGCCCCTGCGAGGCATTTGTTCCCAGGCAACGTTAAGACGAGGGAGACTTGCGTGCTTGATGGGATCCAAATAATGTGACGGTCAGTGGAAGCACTCTCTGTGGCCGGGCCTTGCAGCGGCAAGATGCG